TAGAGGTAGGTAAATCTGAATTCTTCCCATATGACCCGACAGAAGCAAACAGAGTGCTATCGTACTCTGCTTTTTGCATGCGTTCATCCTAATAAATGGACTGCGCTGCGAACAGCTCATAATTATTCGCGTATACAGTGCTCTTTTTTTCCCCGTTAACATGAATCTACTACTTTTTTACTAACCCTATTTCTAAAAATCCTTTCACAACACCAAGCGTAGTAGAAATTATATGTTCAGATATTCAGAATTTGGGGAATTTACAGTTCCCGGTTAATGTCTTACCGCTTGTAAGGGCACTTTTGGAGGCGCATTTCTCTCTGTTTTCATAAAACAGTAAAAAACATATACGTAAAATGTACGATACAACACTCGCTGCTGATATTATGAACTTAGTTTTAATTCTGTCAAGATTTTACAGAGAGGATGGAAGCACTTACCCATGCCCTAATTAAGTTTCTTATTAATTTTCTTACAATCAATCTTTTGAAGAATAAGGAACGTATTGTTTTCAAAGTTTATTTGCACGTTTATTACTGCATTTGAAACAACGACTTCAGATTTCTTTTTTCTGCTGTAATGGTGAAGTCGACGAGTGTTTTGCATATGAAGTTTCGGTGTATAGAAGATGGTGGTCTTTAGTGTGCTAAAAGTGTTGACTTCGGAGCTTTTACATGACAATGTCAAAACTGCTGCTGCGAGACTGCACCAGCATTGTTATCTACAAAATCATTTTTGGAGGAAAAGCCAACCCACAATTAAGCGGTAATAAACGGTGTTTGTGATCTGTTTCGGTAGGTTAGCAGCTTTTTTAGTCATTTAATGTCATTTCTTTCTGAAGTATTAAGTACTGATACAAAGGTTTAGTGAAAGTGTCTTAATTTCAATAAAAAATGTATGGACTAAGCAATTTATTAATAACACTACAAGTATGGAAGAATTACACGGTTTAGCTTGTCAGTCAATCTTTCCGTGGGTCGTGCAACTCTTTGGCCTAATACTGTGAGAATCCAGTTTTGTAGCAGCCAGTTGTAAGCCGTATTTATTTGCAATATCATTTCTTAAAGTAATAAAGAAACTCAGCGACGAACAGATATATGAACATTAAATTTTTAAAAAATAAGAACGCAGATGGAGTTGAATGCAGAGCAGAAACTAAAACTGAAAGACGAGCTTGAGAATTTTCACTTATTTGTAGAAACAAGAGGCAAGTGTCAGGATACGTAAAATAAGAGATAACGATTGCAGAATGGGTGTAAAGTTGACGCTAATCAATAGCAAGCTTAAATATACGATCAGTTAGGCGTATTACAAAAAAAAAAA